TGACGTGTAGGACCAGCGGTCGTACACGATCAGATGCGAACACGCAGCACGCGGAGGGAACTCAGCAAGGCTGGAGGGCTCTGTCGTTCCAGCTCTGGTAGCAGACCGATCTCAGACGTCTAGATATTCAGAAGTAGCGCTTCTAATGGTGTTCCCTCGATTGCTGTGCCAAACAGCTGTGTAGCTTATCTGCAGCTCGAGTTACCTCAAGAAAGTCATCATCATCTCACAAACAAATTGGCGGAGTGAGGGGCAGAGTTTCAACTCCTGCGGGAGGAGGAGCTCACGTCGTGAAGTCCCGCGTCGTGCGGCCCAGCGCACGAGGCGCCCCCAAGAGGCGCCCCCGGGGTGGACCCCTGCCGCGCCAGCGCCCGCGGAGCGCCCGCCCATTGGGCGCCCACGGGCGGAGCCCTGGCGCGCCGGCATCCAGCGCACGAGGTCTCCTCGTCCTCCTCCTCCTCCTCCTCCTCGTACTCCTCCTCCTCCTCCTCCTCCTCCTCCTCCTCCTCCTCCTCCTCGTACTCCTCCTAGTCCTCCTTCTTCCTCCTCCTCCTCCTCCTCCTCCTCCTCCTCCTCGTACTCCTCCTCCTCCTCCTCGTACTTCTCCTCTCCTCCTCCTCCTCCTCCTCCTCCTCCTCCTCCTCTCCTCTCCTCTTCCTCTCCTCCTCCTCCTCCTCCCTCCTCCTCCTCCTCCTCCTCCGCCTCCTCGTACTTCTCCTCCTTCGCCTCCTCGTACTCCTCGTCCTCCTCCCCTCCTCCTCCTCCTCCTCCTCCTCCTCCTCCTCCTCCTCCCCTCCTCCTCCTCCTCCTCCTCCTCCTCCTCCTCCTCCTCCTCCTCCTCCTCCTCCTCCTCCTCCTCCTCCTCCTCGTACTCCTCCTCCTCCTCCTCCTCCTCCTCCTCCTCCTCCTCCTCCTCGTACTCCTCCTCCTCCTCCTCCTCCTCCTCTCCTCCTCCTCCTCCTCCTCCTCCTCCTCCTCCTCCTCCTCCTCCTCCTCCTCCTCCCCCCACGAGACGCCCGCGGATGCAGAGCAAGAGCCCGTCAGTGCAAGCACTGCGTTGTTCATGGGCAATTCCATGGAGGTCTCTGGAGTTCCCATGCCCAGAAGCCCCCCAAAGCCTCTATCTAGGCGCTCACGATGCTCGAATCTCCTCTCCCACCCTCGAGGGGGACGGGATCGGCAGCAGCAGTCGGCGTCGAGATGCCAGCCGACGCTCCCTATCGCAGCGATATCCGTAGTCTGCCATGCTCTTTTCCCTGGCTGTCACCTATTCCTCAGACCTCTGGCTACTTAAGCGCGTCCCTCCCCTCGGCTGCATCTCCTAAGAGTTTTAGTGCAGCGTCATCGTTGCCACCTCCGTGGGTAGAAGAGTGACCGAATATGAGCGCACACCCCCCCTAATGCGACCTGATCCTGGACCGAGTCTGACTTACACCGGCTCAATGAACCCATTGGCCCTCAATCGTCCCCACAAGGATTTCCTGGGGGCTGCATCCCAACTTTCCGCCGTCTCGTTTTCATTCCTTTTCTTGGTTCGAGGGCGGACATTTTGCCGGCCGCCGCCCAACCCGCGTGAAGGCGCGGGCCATTCTCCTCGCAGGCGGCCGGCGCAGCCCAGAGTTGTTTCTCCTCGTGGGCACCGCCAGCGTCGACGTTCTCGGCATCGTTGGCGTCGTCGCCGTCGCCGTTGCCGTCCGCGTCAACGGCGTCGTCGACGTCGTCGTCGTCGATGTCGGCGATGTCTCGTCGACGTTAACGCTGTCGTCGGACCCTCGACGTCGCCGCTGCCGCCGCCGTCGCCGACTTCGACGTCGCCGTGGTCCTCGTCGTGGTGGTGGTGGTGCTGGTGGTCGTCGTCGTCGACGTCGACGTCGACGTCGTCGGCGTCGTCTTGCTCATTGATCTGAGGCCTCTGCGTGCCTTTTTGCGTGGCATGCATTCGAGGACCTCCGAACCCCTGGAGGCCGACCGTGTCGCGGTGGCGGGGGGCCACAGGGGGGGGCATTCCCCTCCCCTTCGCTCCTCCTTTCCCCCCTCCCTGCCCTAACCACCTTACCCTCCCTGTCCCCTTCTCCGCCTCTCTTCGCTCCTCCTCCCCCCCTTCCCTTCGCTCCTCCCTCCTCCCCCTCATCCCTGCCCCCTTGTCCTCCCCCTCGTCCCTCCCCCTCCTCCTCCCCCATACAGTCGGACCGAGGTATAAGATCGCGGTCGGCTCGGGGAGGGTACCCTGATGTTCTTCGTGTTTGTTGGGTCCTCCTGTGCATTCTGGGGTAGGGTACCCTCGAACGTTCTTCTGTTTGGCCGGCGGAGGGTCTCGCGTTCTTGAAGGATGCTTTTCTGTCCTAGGTCCGGCTCTAGCCCTCCGCCCCCTCTCCCTCTTGCCTCCGCCCCCTTCCTCCCCCCCTCCCCCCTGCCTCCTCCAGCCTCCCCTCCTCGCTCCTCCCACACACCCCTCGTCCTGCGCGTGAGGCTGAGCATCCCCGTGCTCCCCTGGGGCCAGAGGGAGGTTCCTCTGGGGCCAGAGGGATGTTCCAAGGGGAGGGGTAACGGCGCAAGATTGCGAATCTAATCGCACCGCTCGGTGCTATGCGCGAAAGTGGGTGGCCGAGGTCCCTCTCTCCCCTCTATCCCTCACCCTCAACCTCGTCCTCTCCAGTTCACCAGGACGCTTCTGGAGGTCCCCTGCGGAACCCTACGTGGTCATTGGAGATGCCTCCAGAGGCCTTAAACAGTGCACCAGCCGCCTGAAAGCCTTGAACCTCCTCCTCTCGAACCTTGATCCTCGATCCTCAAACCTCTTCTTTCTCCCCCTCAACGTTGAACCCCGACCCCTCGAACCTCGATCATCGAACCCCCCCTCTTCCTCGAACGTTGAACTCCGACCATTCGAACCTCGATTATCGAACCTTCCCATCCCCCTTGATGCTCCTCCTCGACTGTTGAAGCACGGCCCTTCGAACCTAGATCCTCGAAGATCCTCCCCCTCCTCGAGCGTTGAACCCCACCCGTTTAATAACTCTCATTCCTCCAACCTCCTCTTCCTCCTCCTCCTCCATCCCCGTGCTCCTAGAATACAGCGCTCCCAAAAGGGGTCGGAGCAGATGGGGTCGGAGGATCGCGCCGCATCGGCGATGCATCGGCGATGCGGCTCCATTTTGATCCCGACTTTCTTCGCGCCGACGCATCGGCGATGTATCGTTGCAGTGCATCGGAGATGCGGCGCGCTCCTCCGACCCCATCTACTCGGGGTCTTCACGTGGGAGGCCTCTATCTTGGCATCGCTCGGAAGTGTGCTGCATTATTCCGCGAGGACCATCGAAGAGCATCCTGGATCGTCTTGCGAGAAGAGACACGCACAACATCCAAAAAGGCACGGGGAATGCACGTCCAAGCGATGGAAGGTTACACAATAAAAGAAAGAAGAGGAAGAAGAGGAATAACAGTCATACTAAGAAGAAGAAGCATTAGAGGACACAAACACATAAGAGGAAGAAGACGAGACCGCCGGCGCCCGCGCTTCGGGCCAGGCTCGTCATCCTCCTCGAGCGCCGCACCTCTCGACCCCTCGATGCTCGAGCCTCCCCCCTCCTCCCGAAGGTGAGGCTGCCGCCCGCCCTCCCCCCAGCAGTCGGCCCCTGGAGCCTCGACCCTCGAGCCGCCTCCGCAGAGCTCGAGCGTTGAGCCCCGAGCCTTCGAAGCTCGATCATCGAACCTCTTCCTCCTCCTCCTCCTCCTCCTCCTCCTCCTCCTCGTTCTCCATCTCCTCGTACTCCGTATCATTCTCCTCCTGCTCCTCCTCCTCCTCCTCCTTCTCCGCCTCATCATTCTCCTCATCCTTCTCGTCCTCCTCCCTCTCCTCCTCCTCCTCCTCCTCCTCCTCCTCCTCCTCCTCCTCCTCCTCCTCCTCCTCCCAGGGGTCGAGAGGTCGCCGCCGCTTGCCCTTGTCGAGAGGCCGGCGGAAAGGCCGGCGGAAAGCCAGCGGGCCTTGAAGGGGCCCAGAAGCTGCCGTCTCTTCTTCGCGTCAGGCCGACAAACCTGCAGCGCCGGGTGCGGCGTCGAATACTCGAAAAAGAAATATAAACATAGTTGTCGTTGCGCTCCGCGCGGTTTTCTTAGATCCGCGCTGGGCACACACACACACCCGGCGGCGCCTTCGGCGCCGCCTCGTGATTATCGTCACACGGCCTGCGACGTCGGCATCCTCAGTGGCCTGGCCGCGGCGTCCCAGGGAGAAGCGTCCCATGGCAGGCACAAGCGGAGGCGGCGCTCCGCCCGCGGAGGCCGGCGGAAGCAGAGGTTGCCGCGCCCCCGAGGGGTGTCGGCACCGCTGGGGCTTTTAGGGGGTCTCCCGGGGGCGGCGAGATCCGCGCCGAGGTCGAGCCCAGAGTCGCGGGCCTCTGCCTCCTCGTCTTTCTGCTCCTCCTGCACAGGGCGCGCTCCACGACTCGCGAGGTGCCTGCTCGCGAGAACGCTCGATATAACACACACACACATGCGTGGCTCGGCTGGATCGCAAATCCATCGCGGCGGGTCCAGGCCATTGGCGAGTGGGCACTTTGCGAGAAGTGGAACGCGCTTGTCCACCCTTCCGTCGTCGTCGTCGTCGTCGTCGTCGTCGTTCCGCTCTGATCGCCGAGCCTCGTCCTCCGTCTCCTCGCCTCGACGCCTTCCACCCCCCGCCCTCCCGGGAGACGCCGCCGCCCGCATCCCCTCGCTGTGGAATGGCTGCACCCCCCCTTCGATGCTCGTTTGGGGGACCTGCCTGGGGCCCGCCTACCAGATCTGTTCAACTCCAGTTCGACCCCAGCTCGACTTGAGCTCGACTCAACTTCGACTCGGGCTCGACCTGAAGGTCCACTCGGATCGGCGGACCTTCGACGCAGCTTCGACACGCGAGTGGAGCGAGCGGCCCCCGGAAGGCCCCCAGAACGAGCAGCCGACCCCCCACACACCGACAGGCGGCTCTGGGCGCCGCCGACCTCCCACGAGAGCCGCCAGCCATGGGCGAGGACGGTCCGAGCCGCGACGAGATCGACCGGTTCATCCGCGAGAACGACGTCGACGACCGCGCGGCCAACGACCTGCGGGAGCGCCTCCGCGGGTCCCCGCCCGGGCCTTCTTCCTCGGGCGGCGGGGGCGTGTGCCGGGCTGGGCTCCAGTCAACCCGCAGACGCAGGAACCAGGAGCGAGTTTCAAGGGTTACCCTTTGCATCAGTTTCCTTCGGTCCATCCTTGGCCGCTCTCGCTGGCCGCGCCCCGCTTGCAGAGTGTCGCCATGGCCCTCCAAGGCACTTGCAGCCTTCTCGTGCGTCCTTACTATACGGGTGGACTGTAGGACGGGGATGAATCCGTTCCGGAGCCGTCTCGGAGCGTTCCGGAACGCTGTGAGAAGACCGCGGCGCCCGAGACATCCTCTAGAACCGCTGGATCTCTGAGATGTTCGATTTATCCTCGTCCGAGTTTGGCCTCATTTTGGCCTCGTCTTATCTTCTTATCTCAGTTGATCCTAGCCTCAGCTTGGTCTCATTCTAGTTTAGCCTCATCTTTATCTCTTGGCCTCATCTTATTCTCATCTCAGTTTATCCTCGTCTGGTCTTGGCCAGGCCCGTCCTGGTCGCAGGGTCGGTGCAGGTGCCTCCCGTGGCCAAGCCAGGAGAACTCATTGGCAGCGATCTCGGGCGCAGAGTGGGCCTGGCCAGAATGGTGCATGTGCATAGCACTCTTCCTTCTTATTCCTTTCCCCCTCTTTGCGATTTTACACAGCTTAGGCTCTAGTTGCCGCTGCTGCTGACACGTCCCCGAAACGCCTGCACCTCGTCTTATCATCCTCCTACCCTCGTCAGAGATGTTGACCTGCGCGGACAGCGTCTGGAACTGTGGGCCATGTGTGGCTAACGATGCATACATACATACAAACATGCATACATACATACATACATACATACATACATACATACAAGCATGCATACATACATACATACATACACGTACAACTGTATCCATACATACATACATACATACATACATACATACATACATACATACATACATACATTCATACATACATACATACATACATACATACATGCATACGTACGTACGTACGTACATGCATGCATGTATGCATGCATGCATGCGTACATACAATTCAATAAAATACAATGCAATACAATGCAATACAATACTATACACTACACTATAATACAATACAATGCATACATACATGCACACACGCATGCATACATACATGCATGGATGCATACCTACAACTAGCATGCAGACTTACAAAACTACACACGTGTACACATGCACAAACATACATACATACATATCTGCATACATTCATACGTGCATACACACAGACAAACCGACAGCCATGCACACTTGTTTACATGCATACAAAGCACATACATGCATATATGCATACATGCATGCATACATACAATCATACATGTATGCATCCAGGCATGCGTACATGCATACACACGGGGGTATGCAGGTGTATACACGTGTGTGTATATATGTGACTGTGCAAGCATACATACAGATGCGTGCGCATGTATAACTAAATGAATACACGCGTGAATATCATACATCGATGTGCAGCTGCTGCATGCATATAGTTTCACGTGCTTGCACTCAGGTTTTCCACTTCGGTCCTGAATCATTGGCTCTGGGCTTATTTGTGTTGTCTTTGTGGCTTGCGCCTACAGGCATATTCTGGTGGCCGTGCCATTAGGGCGCCAGCCCTCGTGGCGTTTTGGAGTTTACAGGCATGTTGTCGGTGATCACAGGCATGTTGTGACGCCTGCAAGCGAGCGCGGCATTGCTACGCTGTGGTGCTCCGTAGTTTGAGTCCGTGTTTCGCGGCTTTGGCGCCCATCTGCGACGAGGGCGGTTGGATGACGTTCGCCATGGTTTATCAAGGCTGCCATGCTCCCAGCCAGCATTGTAGTCTCAGATCTCGGAATTGCTTGGCCTGAGGCCGTAGCAATCGTTCCGACGTGGACGAGCCATGGGTCTTGCATCGTTGCTCTGTGGCAGAATTGCTGGATTTAACCGTGTGGCTGCAGGCCTGATGGCCACCCCGCTTGTGCCCCCGCGCTCCAGCCTTAGCATAGTGGTGACTCAAGCCTTTGGCGAGGCATGCACCCACTGCGGTACTGACAGGAACGTTGTGTTCGCAGGTTCATTGCGGTGCTACTGGCGCGCCGTTTCGCTCGCAGGCTGTCATGATACTGGTCCGCCGCACCGCTGCGCACCGCTGCGGTGATGTTGCGGTGCTGTCCTGGACAGGCGAAGGCCTCTGGAGAGACCGCTGGCAGCCTCTGGGGCTTCCAGTGAGACGTCAGACAGCCTCGGGAGGCGTCCAGGCGACGTTGTCGTCGTCCTCGTCGTCTTTAGTCGTCGTCGTCGTGGCTGTGGTCGTCGTCGATGACCAGCATCCAGTCTTGCGCGGGCGGCGCCAACACAGCCCCCCGGCCGCCCCCCTCCTTACAGTGGCCCCCCCATCGCACCACATTGCCCACCCAGAGTAATTCACCGAGCGCGTTCCACTACTCGCGAAGCGCCCACTCGCAAACGTCCGGAACGCACATGGTCGCCTCGACGTGATGAATCGTAGATCCCCCGCGGCGGATCCAGGCCACTTGCGAGTAGTGCAAAATAAGAGTAGTGGAACGCGCTCGCCTAGTCATGGCCGCTGTCCCCAGGCAAAGAGTTATCGATTGCCTGCTGCTCCAGGCTTTTCGCGCGGTCGCTGCCCGTAGGCGCCTGGTGGCGGCCTCTTGCGCTGCTTGGCGCTTCCGGGCTTCTTCGCCGCGTCGTCGCCCGTGTGGGCGTCTCGTGGCCGCTCCCCGCGCGCTGGCCGGCACATCCCGAGTTCCGCCCGGTGGCCGCCGTGTGGCCGCCCTGTGGGCGTCGCGTGGCTGTTCTCGGGCGTTGGCTGGACACCCAGGCCGCTTGCACCGCGTCTCCTGCGCCACATCGCCTGCACAACAGAGCTTGCAGCATGTAGCTTGCAGAACATGGCTCCTGCCACATGGTGTTTCCACCGCGCAGCTGGCCTCACAAGGATTGCGCCACACAGCTGGCAATCGTGTATACACACGTGCAGTGATAGATCGATATTGGTATAAGGACATAGGTCCCGCAGCTGTGCCGGGGCTGTTGGCCGTATGCCCCTTGGATACATGAAAGAGAATATTGGGATTCCTCTCGGTGGCCTCTTGAAAAAAAAAGAGTGATGTTGACGACGACGACGATGAGTATGACGATGCCGATGAATTTGAAGATGCAGACTCTGATCGTGATAATGATGATGATGATGATGATGATGATGATGATGATGATGATGATGATGATGATGATCATGATGATCATGATGATGGTGGTGGTGATGATGATGATGGTCATGGTCATGGTGATGGTGATGATGATGAAGATGCTGATGGTGATGGTGATGGTGATGGTCGTGACAATGATTAGAATACTTGTTTTCCCTTGCTTTCTGTTATGTTGTTGCTAATTATACTTATGTTGAGTGATATGATGATTGTTCTTCTGATGCTGATGATGGTGATGCTAGTGATGATGATGTCGATGAAGATGACGATGACGATGCCGATGATGGCGATGAGATGATGATGATGCTGAACGGCTCTGACGGTGACGATGGTGATGGTGACGAGGTTGGTGATGATGATCATGACGGCGATTGCGATGGCGATGATGACGGCAATGATGATCATGATGATGATGTTGATGATCATGATGGTGATCATCATGTTGATCATGATGATGACGATGATGATGTGTATGTTGGAAAGGATGATGGTGGTGGTGACGACGATGATATTGATGTTAGTGATGATGATGATGTTAATGGTGATTATGCTGATGATGATGACGATGATGATTATAATGATGATGATGATGATGATGAGGAGGAGGAGGAGGAGGAGGAAGAGGAGGGGGAGGAGGATGCGTTCCGCAACATCGTCGTCATCATCACCACCATCATCATCCTCGTCGTCCTTGTTGTCATTGTCAAGGCAACGGTGGGTCTCCCTGACTTGGTCTGTTCTGGTTGGGCCTCCTGATGGAGGCTTCTCCTCGCCACGACTGGACCTGGGGGACCTGCTTCTGAGCGGATCTGGGCCGGGCGGGACAGCCGCCGTTTTCTCAGCTTGCCTTCCTCCGAGGGGTCTCCTGGGGCCTTTTTCCCTCGGTGCTCTCCTTTTGGGCTGAGCCTCTGGCTCCTGGAGAGGTTCTCATCGCAGGTGCCGGTGTCGGGGCCATCCGTGCCTTGGAATCGGCAGAGATGTCCGTGAATGCAAGAGCGCGACGCTTCTCCGATGCACGAGCCATCCGAAGGCGGCATCTGCACACCACCGTGCCTGATGTGGGCCATGCTGGGCTCCTCGATGGTGTACACGCCCTCCCGGAATCGGCCAAGAGGCGTACACTCGATGCAAGGGCCCAGGAGGGCCCTGGCCAGACCCGGCGGCGGTGTACAGATGCTGCTGGCTTAGCGTGGCGCGCCGCCGGTTCTGGCCCACCACGCTCTGGAGCGACAGGGTAACCCCGTCCCAGTCCCGGAGAGACCACTGTCACGAGTTCTGCCCAGCCTCGCGCCCCGCTCAGCGGAGCGACACGCTATCCGCTCGCAAGGCATGGCGTGTCGCCGGGGCCGCCCCCGCGACACGCTACGCAAGAGTTTCCGACCTTTTCACGACGAAGCCCACGCCGACGACGTCCGCGCCGACGCCGCCGAAGCCGCCGACGACGCCGCCGCCGCCGTCGCCGGGAGGGGGGAGTTCGGTAGCAGATCATGGGGGTCTTGTATGTCCTCGCTGGGTACACCAGCGTGGGCTAGCCCCTGATAATCGATAACTAAGCACAGATTTAGCGTCGATTAGCGTCGAACTAGCGTCGATTACCACCTGCTGGATTAAAAAGTCCGAATCGCCCCAGGGCCTCTTGCATCGTCGTTCTTTGATCGATTTTGGATCGTGGACCCTCGATGGGTTTGGGCTCCCGATTTTGGACATGGCCTCCGAGATGACTCCGTAAAGCGGGCAGCGCG